CCACTTTCCAAGCGGCTATGACGACGGAGTTCCGACACATGCTGGATCGTTTCGTACTTATATACCTCGACGACATTCTGGTTTACAGCCGGAGTCTGGACGAGCATGTGGAACCCCTGCGCACCGTTTTGGAGCGGCTACGACAGGCCAAGTACAAAGCAAACCGCGACAAGTGSGAGTTCGCACAGCAGGAGCTGGAGTACTTGGGACACTATGTGACGCCGCAAGGCATCCGTCCGCTTGCGAACAAAATCGAGGCCCTACGAGTATGGCCCGAGCTCACCAACACCACGGACGTTCGTTCATTCATGGGGTTGGACTGCTCTCATGCAGGAGTCCGGCACAACAATGAAACCAAGTTCGGCTCTACACCCTCAGACAGACGGGCAGACGGAGCGGGCACATCAGACCGCTCAAATGATGCTTCGTACGCTCATCCGTCCGGACCAGAAAGATTGGGTTGACCCCCTCCCCGACATCGAGTTTCGCCTACAACACTTCGGTGCATCCGGCGATCGGCGTGACTCCATTCGAGTTGCACCACGGTGGACGGAAAGGCCGGATCTTCGCCGACCTTCTCCTCCCTCGACCAGCCGACATTGATGCTGCCTGCTCTCCCTCTTCCGTCCGGAAGTACAGGGAATTGCTGACTCAAGCCCGCGCAAATATGCAAAAGGCTCAAGTCCGCATGCAGCAGCAAGCCAACAGGCATCGCGTACCATGTCYCATCCGCGYCGGTGATCTGGTTTGGGTCTCCGCGGAAGAGTTTGCACTGGAACAGGATGTTTCACGCAAACTGCTTCCCAAGTGGTTTGGACCTTGGTCGGTGACAGCAGCCTCGGGCGATGAGCCCGATGGCCCTTCATTTGTGATCAACATTCCAGAGCATCTGGCGGTCCATCCGGTCTTCCACGCCTGGAAGCTGGCAACTTACACGCCAGCCAAGAGCGACGACTTTCCGGACCGACGATCGCAGGACCCTCCTTCTATGGATGGCCATCAGGAAGTTGACCGCGTCATCTCCGATCGCAAGTACGGCAGCAAGCCGCGGCAGTATAAAGTCACATTCAAAGCATGCGATCGCGACGACACTCGGTGGATATCAGGGGCAGATTTGAAAGCATCCGCACCGTTGATCTACGCGCATTATGAAAAGCGCAGGTTAGCTCAGGAAGCTTCACGACCAGCCCCTCCCACCCGGACTGTGGTCCCTCCCTCAGACAGACAGCTTCGCCCTCGCAGGTAAGCTCGGTTCTTCAAGGAGGGGGGGGTGTGGCATACTGCGTAGCCACACGGGCCTACAGGGCCCGTCCCGGACATTCAGCCTAAAAGCCTAAAACTTA